TGACTAAATAATAAATTAAAAGCCTTTTGAATTTATATATCATTTAAAAACTTTGATAATATTAAGTTTCAAAGACTGTTTTCTTTTTATAAAAATATTATTTCGCAAAATATAATCTCTATAAAATGGAAGATAAACAAAGAAAAGGAAATAAAGTCGCTGAAGATATAGAGCAATTATTCCAATTGTGTTTAAAATCAGCTGAAGAATGAAATAGCGATGCTCAGAAATATCTTGGATATTGTTACAGTAATGGATTGGAACAACAAAAGATGAAAAGAAAGCATTTCAATGGTTCTTGAAATCAGTTGAAGGTGGAGATAGTGATGGACAGAATAGTCTTGCCGTTATTGCTATTTAAATGGGATTGGAATCACTAAGAATGAAGAGAAAGCATTTCAGTGGTACATGAAATCAGCTGAAGGGGGAAATATTGCTGGACAAAATAGTCTTGGTTATTGTTATTATTATGGGGTTGGAACAACAAAAGATGAAGAGAAAGCATTTCAGTGGTACTTGAAATCAGCTGAAGGTGGAGATAATAATGCACAGAATAGTCTTGGTCATTGTTATCAATTTGGAATTGGAACAACAAAAGATGAAGAGAAAGCATTTCAGTGGTACTTGAAATCAGCTTAAGGTGGAAATATTACAGGACGAAATAATATTGGATATTGTTATCAACATGGGATTGGAACCATAAAAGATGAAGAGAAATCATTTCAATGGTACTTGAAATCGGCTGAAGGTGGAAGTATCATTGGAAAAAATAATCTAGATCGTTTCGGAGCCACAAAAGAAGAAGAGAGAGCATATCAGCCGTGCATGAAATTAGCTGAAGGTGGAGACAGGTATGGACAGAATAACCTTGATCAGCATCATTAACATGGGATTAGGACCACAAAAGATGAAGAGAAAGCATTTCAGTGGTATATGAAATCAGCTGAAGGTGGAAGTATTATTGGACAAAATAATGCTGGTCATTGTTATCGATATGTAATTGGAACCATATTTTTTATCCTGTTCATTATCTTGCCCCGTGTGTGTGTGAATAGTCGCGGTTATTGTTATCAACATGAGATTGGAACCACAAAAGATGAAGAGAAAGTGATTCGGTGGTGCCTTGTATCAGATGAAGGCGGATAGAATAACCTTGATCGTTGTTATCAACATTGGATTTCAACTACAGAAGCTGAAAAGAAAGCACTTCAGCTGAAGGCGGAAGTATTATTGAACGGAACAATCTTTAATATGGTTATCGATATAGAATTAAAACCTCAAAAGATGGAGAGAAAGCTTTTAAGTGGTGCATCCTGTTCGTTAGCTCGCTGTATGTGCGTATTTGTGTATGTTGTTCTTCAAATGATAATTATTGCTAAGTGATACATGAAATCAGCTGAAGGTGGAAGCAGTGATGGACAGAATAGTCTTGGCCGTTGTTATCAGCATGGAATTGGAACAACAAAAGATGAAGAGAAAGCATTCCAGTGGTATTTGAAATCAGCTGAAGGTGGAAATAGTAGTGGACAATATAATCTTGGATGTTGTTATCAATATGGAATTGGAACTGCAAAAGATGAAGAGAAAGAATTTCAGTGGTACTTTAAATCAGCTAAAGGTGGAAATAGTGATGGACAGAATAATCTTGGTGATTGTTATCGACATGGTATTGTAGCAACAAAAGATGGAGAGAAAGCATTTCATTGGTACTTGAAATCATCTGAAGGTGGAAATAGTAGTGGGCAACGTAATCTTGGTGATTGTTATTACTATGGGATTGGAACAGCAAAAGATGAAGAGAAAGCATTTCAGTGGCACTTGAAATCAGCTGAAGGTGGAAATATTACAGGACGAAATAATATTGGTTATTGCTATGAATATGAGATCGGAACAACAAAAGATGAAAAGAAAGCATTCCAGTGGTATTTGAAATCAGCTGAGAGTGGAGATATTACAGGGCATAATAATCTTGAACATTGTTATCAATATGGGATTGGAACAACAAAAGATGAAGAGAAAGCAGTTGAGTGGTACTTGAAATCAGCAGAAAGGGAAGATAGTAATGGACGATGCTTACTTGCCAATTGTTATTACTATGGGATTGGAATGACAAAAGATGAAGAGAAAGCATTTCAGTGGTACCTAAAATCAGCTGAAGGAGGAAGTAGTGATGGACAATACAATATCGGAAATTGTTATCAAAATGGGATTGGAACAACAAAAGATAAAAAGAAAGCATTTCAATGGTACTTGAAATCAGCTGAAGGTGGAAATGTTGCTGGACAAAACAGTCTTGGTTATTGTTATTATTATGAGATTGGAACAACAAAAGATGAAGAGAAAGCATTTCAGTGGCACTTAAAATCGGCTGAAGGTGGAAATAGTGATGGACAGAATAATCTTGGGTGTTGTTATCAATATGGGATTGGAACAACAAAAGATGAAGAGAAAGCATTTCATTGGTACGTGAAATCAGCTGAAGGTGGAAATAGTATTGGACAGAATAACCTTGGACTGTGTTATAAAAATGGGATTGGAACCACTAAGGATGAAAAGGAAGCATTACAGTGGATTTTGAAATCAGCTGAAGGGGGTAATAAATTTGTTCAGGGTTTAGTTGAATATTTTTATCGAAATGAAATTGGAATCTCAAAAAATAAGAAAAATGAAAATATACTTATGAAAGATATTAAAAAAAATGATAATATTTGCTGCATCTGTTGGAAAGATAATGGTTGCAGTGAAATCTGTATTAAGTATTATTAAAATATTAGTAGATGTCATAATTGTGGAAATTTAAATATTCAAAAAAAATGTATGTCCAAATTGTAAACTTATTGAAGTAAGCTATTTATCAAAATGGACCTGTGGTAATTATGAAATTGACAAGATAATTTACATGTCTCAATTAGATGAAAATGCAGAGGAATGGGAAATTCGGAGATGGATAGATTATAGCAAATTCGAAAATATAGAATATTTAGCTGAAGGAGGTTTTGGTAGTGTTTGGAAAGCAGGATGGATAGATATGCCCAAAGAATTATTTGAATTCTATAATTCAAATCAAGTTGCTTTGAAAAAACTTAAGAATTCACAACAAATTAATTCTGAATTTTTAAATGAGGTAAATATATCAAATATATCAATATCAATTTATTTTTTGACATGTGAAATATTTTAACTTTATAACTTTATAATATAGTTAATAGTAAATTTCCATTGTCGAGATAAGTATGTTTTACCAATTATGGGTATAACACAAGATCCTAAGAAAAAAGAATATGCATTAGTTTTACGATATATGAAAGATGGAAATTTGAAAACCTTTCTTCAATAAAATAAGATACTTCCTTGGAGAGAACGGATATGGTTATTGAATTCTTTTATTAGAGGATTAACAAAAATTCACAGTAAAGGATTTATTAATCGCGATCTTCATCCTGGTAATCTTATGATTACTGAAGCAATTGATAGTTCAAAATTCATAAGATTGGATTATGTAGATCAGTAAATGCATCTGGAACATATGGTGTATTACCATATATTGCACCAGAGGTCATGAATAAAAATCAATATACACAAGCATCAGATATTTATAGTGTTGGAATTATTATGTGGGTAATCTCAACAGGAAAGATACCATTTGAAGGAGAATTATATGATCCAGAACTGGCGTTATCTATTTTCAATGGATATCGTCCAATAATTTATAAAGGAATACGTCAATGTTATATCGAATTGATGGAAAAATGTTGGCACAATAATCCATCTGAACGTCCAAGTGCTGAAACTATTTATTATATATTAGAGGAATGGATTGAAAGTTTAATTTATGATAGAGAAACAGAAAATGTACTTATGTTTTTAAATGCAGATCAAGAAATGCAAAATATAGATTCTGAATCATTTTATAATGAAACTACCTTTTCTGAAACATATTTTATAAGCAAATCTTTAGGTGCATCATAGTTTAGCAATTCATGAATCGATTTCAAAATACGATATAAATAAATATATAGGCATAATCAGTTTCGATGATTAATTAATTAATTAAATTGAATTACCATATATTATATTTGAAAATTCCATATTTAGTTAATACTATTATATACTGTATTTTTTTTTTTTTAAAGTATACATTTGTTAAACAAAGGTTATATACGATATGGAAATTGTTTAATATGTCATTGTAAGATATGTTGTCAATTTTTTATCATTCAAACCAATTTCCCATGAGGTTTATTTCACGGTAATATAATTAATATTATTAAATCCATTCTTTGACTTTTTTAAAATATGTATTTTATTTCCAAAGTGAAAGTAGAGAAATAAATTGAAGACTTATTGATTTTTATTATTTTTTACATTTTTTATTTGATAATATTCATTATGATTATTAATAAAAATAAGCAAATATGATAAGTTTTTTTTTTATTATTTTTAACCTTTTTTTTTCCTTGTCACTATCGCTTAATATACTTATTATGCATTATAAGAAATTTTTTTTTATCATCGTTTATAGAAGTTTGTCGTGTAAGAATTGATCCACATTTATTACGTTCTATTACAGAGTTAGCATCATGAAAATAAACAACGTATGAAACAGATTGAGAAATTAATGTTGGGACAAAGGTTAAGATATAAGGTTATCGTTCAAAAAAATAAGCATGTATAATACTCTTTATTTATTATATATTATCATAAAGCACAAATTAACTTTTATACTATATTTGAAAATAAAAAACGGACAATTCTGTTTCACTTTTACGATTTTTTACTTTAGCAATAAATCATGATTTATACAAAGTCCAATTAGTGTTCACATTTGAGATTTTAAAGCAATTCGATGGATCCAATATTAAATTAATAGTGGATCGATCCGCATTTCAAGGGTGTATAAATTATTTTTAATTTCAGGGGTAAATCTGTTCGTTTAAATGTGGGACAGTTTTTTAATGATAAATCGAGATTCACTCAACAGTTAATTCTAAGAAAAAAAAATGACTAGCGATTTACCTGAACCAGATCTTTACATAGGCAAGCGTTTAAATAATTTATTTATTAGCTTTCTTCCATTTTGTTTTGCATTAACAATCTAATGAAATCTAATAATTTTTTAAAAAAAAAAAACTTAAAATTTGTTACCAAAGATTACAAATCTTTCTTATCCAATAATTTTGATCCCAAAGAATACGCTAATTCCACTATCAATTCAACCTCGGAGAGTGATGGCGATATAACGATTTCACTCGCAAAATTATCATTTGGCATAGATAATTTAAATAAACAACTTCATGACCAGGTTTGTTTAAAAAGAATTTTAAATAATTTATTTTAAAATTTTTTATTCTTGAAATTAATAATATATTATTTTTTTAGAAACTTTCATATAATAATTATAATAGTTATAATAATGATAATAAAAAATATTTTAGGTTATTGCACATTTTGAAGATTTGATATCGCAAGCATCTGGAATTAGAGATTTAGAAATCGTCTTAAAATCGGTTAAAGAAGGTGTTAACTCCCTTACTTCTTCTTTAGAAAGGTATAAATTATTTAAATTTATTGAAATATCTTTAACCAAAAAAAATTTTTTTTTTTTTTTTTTGAGATCCTGATATTTTTTTATTAATTTTTATTTATTAATAATAATAGGCTCAAAACAAAAATACATGCACCATATACACAGATAAAAAATTATACTTTACAATTAGAAAGATATCAAACAGCATCAGATTTATTAAGAAATATTGTTAGATTCTTTCATTTAGCCAGACTTTTGGAAGGACAATTATCAGAAATTAATAATGAGGATGAAAAAGCAATTGAATATGTTAAAGCAGCACCTATTTTAGGAGAATTGGGTAATTTAATAAATAAAGTAATTTTTTTACATTTGATATATAATATTTTTTTTTTAATTTTTTTTTTGTTCTTTTTTTTTTTTTAAGAAAATTATTAAATAAAATTATTAATCAAAATTTTTATAAATTTTTATTTTTTTTTTTTTTTTAAAAAAAAAAATAGAAATTCTTCTGAAAGAAGTTGATTTTGAGGGAATTGAACTTGTACAAGCTCAAATACCTGAAATTCAAAAATCAAAAGACAAAATAACAGTTGAAACATTTCAGTTATTACAAAAAGGAATTGATTGTCAGGTAATTTTTTATTGGTAAATTTTGCATATTTAAATTAACAGATTTAATTTAATTCATAAATTTATTTATTTTTTTTTTTTCCCCACAGAATGAAGCGGATATAATTCTTTGTATTCAAATATTTAAAGAACTTCATGAGATAGGTGAAAGTATCTTAAAATATGTTGATGATATATATGAGAAATTACTGGAGCAGATCAAAGATGTAGTTGATGTGAATTTGCTTCAAAAGGAGGTGAAAGGTACGAATACAAATGAATTCATATCGAATTTAGATTGAATTCAAATTAAATTCCGGATTTTTAGTTTATTAAAAATTTTAGTAATTTTAATAATTTAAAATTTAATATAAATTTTATAGATTCAGGAGTTATCCCGATGAAAGGGATTAGAAGGCTGGGAACTGAACCTTCTACTGGAGCTTCTTCTGTTTGGACTTCTACATTATGGAAAAGAATGGAGATATTAATGAATGAAATATGTGAAAGTTGTAATAAGGTTTTTTTTATTTTTATTATTTCAATTATTATTCTTGTTTTTAATTTTACTTAAGATTTTTTTTTTGTTATAAAATTATAGAAAATTAGATATTTATGCTCTTAAATATTTTTTAAATATTTATTAGATATACGTATTAAAAAATGTACTTTCGAAGGAAAAAGATCCCATGACTGGATTATCATATTTAGAAGATGATTCGGTAAATGAATTTTGTAAATCATATGCGAAAATTATAATTATTATTTATTTGTTGTCATCATTTTCATCATTTGCATCATTTGATTTTTCATTTAGATATTGGACACTGAATTTCTACAACATTATTGGAAACTTTTGTCACAAAATTTTGGAAGAGAATTAAAAGAAGCTACTAAAGGTTTCTATTTTAGAAACCAATTATATATGGTTCTTTGTAATTTCCTTGTATAAGATTTTTATAACTTTTTATAATTTCTTGTAATATATTTTATTAATTAGGAAACACATTCATGCAACAAACACTTATTAATGGATACCCAAAGTTGATTCGTTTATTCCGTGATTTTTTTACAAAACTTGAAGAACATGGTCATTTAAAACTTGATGGTGAATTTCAGAGGTTAGTCATAAAATCATATAATTATTGATCGTACGCATTTTACAATATTATTTATTTATTTTTATTTTTTTATTTTTATTTTTATTTTTCATTTATTATTATTATTTTTTTTAATTAGTCAAGAAACATTAATTATGTTACATAGTATTTTAAGTTTCGAGACTGGATATTTAGAACGATCAATTATTCGATTATTCGATCCCATCAATGTTGCATTTCCAGCAGGCATTCATCGTACTCCTCCATCTAAATCTGACGTTACAAATATAGTTCGAGCCATTTCAACGTACATTTTACATTATTTCATCAATTTCATTGGATTGGTTATTTTTATTTTTATTTTTATTTTTTTTTACAACTTACATTTTTCAATTACCTATAGTGAATTGGCTGCAGTAAGAATTGATCCACATTTATTACGTTCTGTTGCAAAGAATGTTGTTAAAGCTTTAAACTTATTTGGTGCCAAAGCAGAAAATATGGTATGGTAACTTGTAAAATTATGTATTACAAAATCTTTTTTTTTTTTCTTTTGTTTATATAATTCAAATTCGTGATAATAATTATAATAATTCTAAAAAATGAAAATTAGGCGATAGTTGATTCTTCGGCATATCAAGTAACCGGACCTGGGCCATGTACAGCTTCACAAAATACCAATTTTGAACTTATTAATTCGTTATACGCTTTACACCAATCAGCATGGAAAGTTCTCGAAGAGTATCCTGATAACATAACTGAAATAGTATTTGATGCTGTCGAAGTAAAAAATCTCTATATTTACTTTTGAAATTATTTTTTTATATTATTTATTTTTTATTTTATTTTATTTATTTTATTTATTTATTTATTTTATTTTATTTTATTTTACTTTATTCATTTCATTTCATTTTATTTATTGTTTATTTTATAGAATACTAGAAAGGTGATGCAAAATATTGTTGACCCATTATTTCATCATATACGAAAGGAATTTGAATCTACGATTCTAAAAATCCATAGGGAAGATTTTTCAAGGTAAAATAAATTTATTGAGTAAATTCCACCTATTTATCTCTCATCATCATCATCTGAACTTTTTTTTAAAAAACCTTTTTTTTTAGACAATTATCGATAAACTTTATGCTTACCGAAGCACAATGTAGCACATATATGATTGAACTTTCAAATCGTATGAATTATGTACAAAAAGAATTGTTTTCCAAAATTTCATGTGGTCTAAATAGCAAAGAATGGTGAGTGAATAATTATTATCTGTTACTAAAAATTAATTAAAGTTTGATTTCATTTCATTTAATTCATTGATTACTTCTGACTAAAAATAAATTTCCAATTCTTTGATTTAATTATTTATTATTTATTATTATTATTATTATTATTTTATAATAATTAGGACAAAAGAATTAGGAAAAAGGATTCTTTATTTTTGGTTATTACATGCAAGTTTGGTTCGTCCTTTAACAGAAAACGGAAAAAAAAAATTAACTCGAGATATGGGACAATTAGAATTTTCTTTAAATCAATTACTAATTGAAAATGGTTCAAGTATTGAAGAATTAGGAGATGAATATAATGCTTTAAGAGCATTTAAGTAAGTTTTATACATAATAAATCTGATTCTTTTAAAATAATTCCTATAACAATAATAATAATAATAATAATAATTCTATATATTCGTGTAGACAGTTACTTTTCCTTGATAAATCACATATCGCCGAAGATCAATATATATCCAATCTACCTTTATTGATTTTAATTCATCATATAATAGTTAGTTCATCTACTTCCACTCAAAACATTAATACAGTTAATACATTACAATTACCTTATAAAATATATGGATGGACCGAAGCGGATTATTCGAAATGGTTAGATGAACATAATGAAAGTGAAGGAATTGATTTGGTTAAAGGATGTTTAAGAACCAATTCCGAATTAAAATCAAGTAATGAAGAAGAATTGTTTGAAGAGAAGTTGGTGAGAAAGTTGTTGAAAGAAAGAGCTGGAATTGAAGTTTAAGGAAATTATGAATCATTGTCAATGTGAATTATGTATGTGAATTTAATTTATTGTACGATTATAATAGTATGGATGGGAAATTTTTCAATTTCTTTATTAATTTATTCTTTATTTATTTATTTTTTAGTTGATAGAGTGTATTTTATTTTTTTTTTTTTGATTTTTTTGATTAAATAGAATTTATATTATAAATTATAAATTAATTAACTAATTACACGGAAACAAAAATATTAAAAGAAGGATTCGATGAATAAACTTGTTTTCCTTGTAATTCATTTTTTTTATTCTCGATTAGATAAATTAATTAAATAATTAAGACTAATTTTTATGAACAAAATGATAATGTTTTGCAAGACTTGATTCTATTATGATTCTATTATTGATTCTATTATTGATTCTATTATTAATTTTATGATTATTCTATTAATATTCTATGATTATTCTATTATACTACATATACTCTCTAAAACGCTCTAAAACATTAGAATTATTCTAAAAAACCAAAGTAAATAATTTTAACTTACTTCTTTCTAAATTTAACTCTTAATTCTTCTCTATTCTCATAAATAATGCTAGTGACATTAAATCCAGACCTTATGGCATATCGATTAAATGATTCCTCAACTTCTTTTTTATTTCCACGAAATCCTACTACCAAATATTCCAATGATGACGTTTGACAATTCTTAAAAAAATTTTTAATTTCTTCAGGATTAAATAATTTTGATATTTGAATAATTACTTTCTTTAATTTTTTCGAAGAATTAATTGCAATCTCTTCAAAAATTTGTCCTGGAGTTGGTAAATCGGATTCATATAATGAACGTCCTTTATTATACGTGGTGGTACTTCGAACATTAAGAATTTCTAAATTTTTACACTTTTTCATTATGGTTATAATATATTTACTAAAATAACTGGTAGTGAGAGTTACAAGATTTGGACAATGATCCGAAATTATACGATCAATGAATGGATAATGTTTTAAATCAATATCAAGAATTAATTCTTCTAAATTCTTATTTGATCCAATAATTAAATTAATCAAATCATCTTTATGTATATAAGTCGTATTTAATTGTAAAGATTTTAAAGGGGCGATAAATGATGATTCAGTTAAAACTTTTTCACATTGATGAACTCCACAATAAAAAAGTGATAAAGATTCTAAATTTTTACAAGTGGCAAGTGATATTAAAGGTAATCCTTGTTGATAAAGGCATAATTCCAATTTAACGTGACGTAACGAATTAATTTGAGATGACAAAGAATTATAAAGACCCGTGAGATCATAACGAACGGAACGAAGTTTTAAAATTTTAAGATTTCTTTGAGCTTTAATTAATGGACCCCAATCAATTTTTTCATTAAAAGCTGCCGAAGTTGAAAGAATAGTAATTTCTTCAATTTCACGACAAATTTGTGACATGATATCAATTAAATTATCTTTAGCAAATCCACCTCCACAAGTAAATTTTTGAATACGTGAAAAATAAGAATTTGATAATTTAAATTTATGAAGTGCCACTACCATTTTACCAATGTAAGATCTTGAAGAATCAATCTTAAGAAATGTTACTTTGGCTCGTGATAATAAAATATCCCAAAGATGATGAGTAAGCTTTTCAATATTTGAAATTGAAATATTTTTTAAATCTACTCGATTATTATTCTTATCTACTAATACTATCGTTGTTCTATCCTCTTTATGTCGAAGTTGATCCCAAAAGAGGGAAGCGGATTCAACCAATTTTAAATAATCCAATTGTTGTAAAAATGATGCGTAATTGAATAAAGCTGGTTTACGAGAAAATTTTTCTTGATAAAATGCTTCTAAAGCATATTGAGAATCTTTACTTATTAAACTATCAATAAATGAAAATCTTTCTTCTTGAGAAGATAATTTAAGATAGATTCGAACCAATTTATATCGTTTATGTGAAGAACAAATATTAAAAGATTTTTTCCAAAGTATCGGGATAGCGAAAGAACACCAACGTCGAGAAACCAATGAACAATTTAATAAATTTACAGGTTCTTCTTCTAAATTTTGAAATATCAAGTAGAATAATTCTGGAGCTAAAGTTTCAGCGGTTCTTTTCTTTTGCATTCTTGGTTACTCTCGTTATTCTTGTTATTCTCGTGTCGTATGCTTTTGTCGAATGATTCCAAAGATGATTGTTCTTATCATATGAGAGAGAGAGTGTGTGTGCGTGTGTGTGAGGGGGATAATAATTATTTGAGATAAGAGAATGTGTGGGGAAGAAAACGACCAACTTATATAGAATTGAATTTTACGTGATTTTGGCGAATTTTACGTTCGAGAAAAAAATAAATAAATAGAATAAAATAAATAAATAAATTAAACATTAAAATTAAAATAAATCAAATAAATAAATAAACAATGATGAATAATAAACAATAACAAACAATGCAAATGAAAAAGAATATTTATATTGTACTACACATCACTATTATAAAAGTGGCTTAAACTATCAAAGAATTAAAATAGAATGTATCCTGATATTGTGTATATATATACATATATATAGGACGATCTAACTCCAAAAATCTTGGGTAAAAAAAAAAAAAAAATGCATTTCACTCCTTTTATTTTACAAACACTCATCAGTAATGTTTCACTTGATGATGCACAAGCATCTTCTCAAAGTACCTCTTCTTCTAGTGGAACGCGACTTGGTTGGGTAAATAGAGAGAGTCGACTGAATGCAGGTTCGAGACTTGCGAGTGGAATAGGTTGGGGGAGTAAAGATAATAATAAAGTAACAGTTGAATCAGTAGAAGCTTGGGGTAATTTTTTTTTCAATAAATTTCCCCAAATCAATTCATTTATTCATTATTATTATTAATGAACTAAATAAATATATATATATATTTATATTAATTTTAATTTTTGAATTTTTTTTTTTTATTTGTATAGAAAATAATTTATACATAGGAACATCAGATGGACATATTATTCATTATGGGGTCGATGATCAAATATCATCCGAAAATGTTTGTAATTAATAATTTATGTCAAAGAAATGGTTACTTTATATTTTTAATAATATATAAATATAATATATATGTATACAATTATATAATTGGATGTAATAAAAATAATAAAATAGAGCATACCGAATAGTTTTCAAGTATCCAAAATTCATCTTGGATTCGGTAAAAGAATTGTTGAACGAATTATGTTATTTCCTCAAATTTCTGTGGCTGTTGTTTTATGTGGTAAAATAAATAAATATAAATATATTTAAAATTAAGATATTTATTTGTTGATATATTTTAAATATTACTATTAATTGATTTTATTTCTAATGAAAACACATGAATTTTTATTTTATCTTATTTAGATTCAACTTTATCTTTTTATTTATTACCAAATATGGAACAATTATCAACAACAAAGTTCCCCTTCATTAAAGGGGTAACTTGTTTTTGTCATGATGTATCAATGGAAGGAAAAGTTGAAGAAGATGGCTCTGTCAAAATTTGTGCAATGAAGAGGAGAATGATTCATATTTATTCTATTAAAGATCAATGTACCGAAGAGAAGGTATTTATGGCAACGATTTACATAATACGTCATCATAATTTATTAGTCACTTTACATTATCACTTCATTATTTATTATTTATTGTAATTTTTTTTTTTTGTAACCTCTTTTTTTTTAGGGTATTCAATTACCAGACGGAGCGATTACAGCTTGTCAATATGGACAATTCGTTTGTTTGGCAGATAATCAAAGATATAAATTAATTGATTTAAAAGAAAAAAAATTAGAGGATGTTATGCCATATTCTGAAAATAAGAGTGATAGGAATTCATCTTTAAATGAAGTATTTAAACCAATAATTACAGTTATTGGTGATTCGGAATTTTTATTGACATTACCTGCTGATGCTGGTCATATCCTTTGCTTATATCAATTAAATAATAATTAATTAATGAGAGTAATTATAATTAGTGAATAATTAATTAATTAATGTTTCCTTAATTCTAATACATAATAAACAAACGACAATTGGTCAATTTATTTCTTTTCGGCTAGAACCAGATCGTGGAATGTGGGAACCTGTTCGAGGAACTTTACAATGGCAAAGTTTTCCAAGAGCAATTGGTATTTTTATTTATATATAATATATATATATTTCTTATATATTATATAACTTTCTATTTTTATTTTTTTAATGATAATTTATTAATTTATTAATAAACATCATTTATTTATTTTAAATAGGAGTTGAATTACCTTACGTTGTAGCGTTATTACGTAACAATTATATAGAAGTTCATAATATAATGGATCAACAAGTAGTTCAAAGTGTTCAACTTTCATCAAAATCCAGAACAATTTCAACTGGTCCAGGAATTAAAGTTCAAGTTGCGGGATTAACGGAAAAATTAAAATGGGAAAATGGATCTTTCGATAATAATAATTCTAAAATCCCTCAACAATCGAGTACCGAACAAGCCAATTTTTTGGCTACGGTTCCTACTCGACTTATAATTGCTGGTAGTGAATCTGTTATGGCTTTAGCTGCTACACCTTTAATTGTTCAGGTATTTATTGTTTATTTATTTTTAATGATGTCAATTATAAGAATGTTTAAATTTTTTTATATAAGTCATTTGATAAAATTCATAAAATAATTTAAAATATATTTTATAATCGAAAAAAAAAAGGTTGATGCAATGTTGGACGCGAACTGTGTGGAAGAAGCTTTAGAAATGGCGGAGCAGGCAATAAGTACTGCGACTCCCGAAAATGTTCATAGTGAAAGAATGGTGAATTTTTAGTTTAAAGTTTTCATCTATCTCGAAACCAAAAATGATAATCATAATAATTTTATCAACTCAAATTATTTATTTTTGTTGTAAAAATAGCGTCACGAATTTAATTATATTCATCAAAAATCCGGATTTATTTATCTCGGAGAAACTTTCTTTGATTTGGCAGTTTCATTATTTGAAAAAGGGAAAACTGATCCTCGGATACTAATAAGATTATTTCCCGAAATGAGAGAAGTTTTCGTTGACGATGAACATGAACCAATATATATGTATTCTGGAGTTAAAGCAGTAGCTGATAGATTAGGAAGTATTGAAGATATTGGTAAATTATTTTATATATATATATTTTTTAATTAATTAATTTATTTATTTATTTATTTATATTTATTTTATATTTATATTTATTCGATAGAAATATAAACTTTAACTTTTTTTTATATTATAATAATAATACTAATAGTGTCTAGCAGTATGATAAAAAATTATGATCCACATATCAAGCCGGACATTGATACATCACCCGCCACACAAGAACTTCGTAAAGCTCTTATTACAAATGCTAAAGATATGTTACAAAAGTTTTTAACTTGGGATCGAGGACAACGAAAGTCGACTTCAAATGCACTAACAAAGAAAGATAAAGTTATTTTAAAGGTAAAATATTAATAATAAATACTAATATTAAAGTTTATCATATGCTATATTGTTGTGAGTTATTATTTTTAAAAATACAATGAAATCTGATATGTTAACTATGATTTTAATTTTGTAATTTTTTGATTTTTTATTCATAGGCCGTTGATAATGCATTGCTTCGTTTATATACTGAATCTGATTCGGAAGATTTATTAAGAAATTTATTAGAGAGCGATAATGAATGTGATTTGGATCTATGTAAGAAAGTATTAGAAGAAAATGAAGTAAGTATTTAATAAATTAGAAGTAAAATATTATTAAAAATTTTATAAAATGTTAAAAAAAAATTCATATTATATAATCATTAATTTATATATATATATATTTTTTTATTTTATTTTGAATAGAAATTTTATCCTTTGTCACTCCTATACAAACAAAGAAAAGAATATCGAAAAACTTTGGAAATTTGGCAACGGTATTTATTTATTTTATTTTATTTAAAAAAAATGGTATATAATAATAATAATAATAAATATTCAATAATAAATAATTTTTGGTTCTTTTTTACTTTACAGTCTTATTGATCAAGAAAATTCTGATCTAGATTTCCCTGATGGATTAAAACAAATGTCTGATCTACTTGCAAAATTGGATGATCAAGAATTGGTTTGGGAATGTGCAAGTTGGGTTATCCATAAAAATGAGATAATAGGAGCGACGGTAAACAAATTATTTGTTATCTTGTACAAAATTTCATGAAAGAAAAATTTAGATTATTCAATATATATATCATTATAGATATTTATTCTGCAAGATGCAAAAAAGCCCCTTCTCGTAGATCCAAGTACAGTACTTAAAGAGTTACGATCAGTAGGAAAAGAAGGATTAAAATTGTTTCTTGAATATTTAGTGGATACGCGTAAAAGTCAGGTTTGTTTTTAATAATACAATATAAATGTCATATTTTTTTTAAAAAATTTTATTTGGGACGTTATTATTTATTATTTATTATATCAAATTGGTATAAATTATTTTCATAGGAAGAGGAACATCATACTGAATATGTATTATTATCAATACAAGATATTAAAGCGGAGTCACTTAAAAAAGAGACTCGTTTAAAATTTGATGCATTAAGTATGTATTTGAATTAATTATAATAATGATTTTTTATTATTTATCACGTAAAGTAATAAATAACAATAATATTCACCTTATATAAATAATAATAATAATAAATAATAGCAAAAGAATTCACTGAACACAAACAAAGTGGACAAACGTATCTTTCATTCTTAATGAATCAACCGATGGATGATTCTTTTTCACAAGCACGAACAAAATTAATACTTTTCTTACAATCATCAAATCTATATAAAGCAGATGAAGTATTGTTAAAATTAAAAGAAGCCGAAATATTAAAAGCGGAATTGGCCGTCGTCTATGGAAAGGTAAATTTTATTTCAACAATTTATTAAATATTTATTGAA